GTCCAGGTTGAATGTGCTTTTCCCCTTCCCCCCTTTTCCTGTCTTTTTATTCTTCCGTTTTCCCATTGTTTTAGGGGCACTTCCAGATTAGTTCCAAGAGGCAGACCTGCCACTCCTTTAAATCCCTCAAGTGATTCTAAGCACTTGCTGTTATCTGTCCCCACCCTTTCTGGTAATTACAGTGCTCAATTCACACTTGTTGTAAGCTTTTTAGTGTGATTGGCTGCTATCTTAAGTCCATATTGCAAAAGGTTAACTTCAGATTTAGTGTAATTGGTTACTATCCCAAGTCTATAATGCTATTGGGTACCACCTACCTATTGTTTGTAAATGATGTTTGGGGGTATAAGTAAATGGATTGTTTTCAATAAAGGTTGTTGTTTTTAAATGTTACCAAGTGTTGTCTGTTGTTTAGAGAAATGGGTTTCCAAACCTATAATCACAGTAGCCTGGTCCAGGGTAGAAAAGATGCTCGTCGAGCCCAGTCAAGCTTCGGGTCTGAAGCGCTCCAGGGTTACTGATAGCGGTGAGGAAGCAGATTTGGCCGAGGTACTTGGTCAAAGTACGGGAGCTCTGTCACAGTCATCTTGTGATTTATCCTTTAGTTTAAAAAAATAACAACAAAAAACAACAACTATGTACTAGTTTCAGCAGGAGTCTTTTAAAAATTAGGTTTTTCAAAAGATGAAGGCCTTTGTTTTTTAATTCCCTTTCAAATTCAGTTCCCCCTTTTTTTCCAAGTGCCTTTTATTGTGGTTTTGCCTTCACTGGCTGAGCTATGCAGTTCCTGCTACCCACACAGATGCAGTTAAGATAGTAGGGCACTGAAAGATCATTCCACAAGTCATTATACAAAATGGATGTATGAGGCAGCTTTGTTCTTCTCAGGGTGAGTGGGCCACAAAGTGCCCATTTTCACTCACTTTTGCCTTAGAAAGAGAAGTGACTGTTCTTTATAATGGAAAAAAAAACATTTGCCCTATCAACCTATGCCAATTGTGTTTACAAAGATAAGGCTCACTCAGCCTGCACAAAACCACAAGGAAAGGCACTTGAAAAAAAGGGGGAAAGCAGCAGCAGGGATAATTTTTCTTTTTTTCTTTTTATTAATTTTATTTACCAAGGTGGGTGAACAAGTAGATGACCAACATTACTACCACGTTTTAGAATACAAAGAGTTAAAGAAAGGATCTGTCACACTCAGTGTGTTCACTAGTACTGTAAACTGCAGCCACAAATGGTGTATATTACTGAGGGAAAAATCTTGCTATTTCCAAGGCACAAGAATTGGCTCAGATGCACACCAAAAATCAAATCCATTTCTTATTAAATAAAATAAAAAATAAATGACAAATTAATAACACCATTCAAAAACATTCTAAATCAGTGATATTTTTTTGTTTTATTCAATAGATAAAGAGTGGTCTGAATGTTCCTGTCAAGTATTCCAGTGTTGACTACTGGCACTATCCTCACCATCCTACTGCTCTGTCCTAGGGTGCTGGTACTAGTAGTGGGAAAGGAGGTAATAATGGTAGGTTGTGACTAGTGATGTCCCGAACGGTTCGCCGAACGGTTCACTGCGGACTCATCATTGAGTAAACTTTGACCCTGTACCTCACAGTCAGCAGACACATTCCAGCCAATCAGCAGCAGACCCTCCCTCCCAGACCCTCCCACCTCCTGGACAGCATCCATTTTACATTCATTGTGAAGCTGCATTCTTAGTGAGCTGTCCAGGAGGCGAGAGGGTCTGGGAGGGTCTGCTGCTGATTGGCTGGAATGTGTCTGCTGACTGTGAGGTACAGGGTCAAAGTTTACTCAATGATGAGTCCGTGGCGAACCGTTCGGCGAACCATTCGGGACATCACTAGTTGTGACAACTGTGCAGACTCAAACACAGCACCAGTCAACTTTCTTATCCTTCTTCTTCCCTCACTAATGCAGATTTGTGGTATCCCCAACTCACTTCATTTCTGCACATTTTGCACTTTGCAAGTCAGTCTTCTTGGATGCACTCAGATAAATCCTAAAATTTGCATTGGTGGCAGTGGAAGCTGTTGCAACTCTAGCCTGCACACTAGCACAGGCATAGGCAACCTTCAGCACTCCATATGTTTTGGACTACACCCCCAATGATACTTTACAAGCATTATGGGTGTAAGAGCATTACGGGGGATGTAGTCCACAACATCTGGAGTGCCGAAAGTTGCCTATCCCTGCACTAGCACTTGACTGAATCATACTAATGGAAATGTTGATGGTGGTGAAGGTGGTATTAGTGGTAGTTTTTAGTGGTAGTTTTGGTACTAGTGGTGCTCTCTCTCTTTCTTACATTGGTAAGCTAGTCTTGCAGTAGGTTCAATAACAAAATGCCTGCCAATCTCCTATCTCCCACTCAAAGTTGTTTATAATATCTTTGTCAGTAGCTGCCAGCAAGATACAACAGAAAGCTAAACCTAGTCTCAGACTAGAATCAATGACCCAGGCTAGGCAAAATTATTTTTAGATGTTACTAAACACCACACTTCACAAAAGAAGGATTTTCTTTCCTCTAAACATTAGACAAACAAACAAAAACTTAATAATAATTGTATATTGATGCCTAGTCCCATGTTGGAATTAATGACAAATAGCCTGCCAATCTCATATCTCACACTCAAAGTTGTTTCAAGTGCTCCTGGCAGTAGCTATTAACTAGATACATCAGAAAGCTAAACTTAGTTACACAATAGAGTCAATGATTCAGGCTATCTACTATCTACACTCCAACACAGGTACAGCAAGGGTAAACATAGAATCATCAACTTACTAAAAATGCAAGAATCAGTTCACTCTTTACAAAGGTATGTACTTAACTTTTAAAATATGTAAGCAAAAGTAACAATTTGTGAGAATTAGTAAATTTTAATCATGCAAATAGATACTTTCCTTAAGGAAAGAATAAGTCCCGACATGCTCTTTCCTTTTTCACAAATATACCATGTTATCATGCAGGTCACATGACATGTGAGGAGCTTAAATTGCAGGCACAACATGGAAGACAAAGAGATTGAAGACCGTTGGAGATAGAGGAAGCCAATGGAAACCGAAGAGACCTCATTAGAGGAATTTAAATTGTTGGTAGGCAGGAGAGTATTTGATCATTTGTTTTTGTGATGCTCAATGTCCCTGGGAAATCTTACCAGACAAGACACATTTGACTATTTTGCTTTTAATCTGGATGTGTGGTTTTATCTTTTTATATGTAAGTGAATACATTTACGTTCTAATACTCTGAGCTGCATTTGTCTTTTTCCATCTACTCTAGCTTCAGGCTTATCAATATTTTGGGAGATTGTCTATAATATTCATCCAGTCCTTTAGTAGTTTTAACTTGCTCCAGATATTCTCATCTAATTCGGCTATTTAAACACTTTACAAGTGATTTACAAGTAAGTGTGAGTGGCCAATTGGAATACACGTGTGTGTGTGTGTCAATACACATTATTTTGTTTTTTTAGATTTATCTACTAATATATATAAATACATACATATATATGCAGTCATGGGAAAATAAAGTACACCCTCTTGTTACCGTGTAAGCATGCAGAAGCCAAACACAGAGATATGGACACAAGTCTTCAGGAAGTAAGAGGCCTTTATTCACATTACCGATCGGGTCTCAGATGAACTCCTGTTCCAAAATTCTGAGAGAGCAACACATGGGGCTTGGGACTTTTTTTAACTGCATATCTCCTCCCATACAGTATAACCCCTCCTATATTCCTCAGACCAATCAGCACACAGGATATTCAGGATCACCTTATATGGCAGACCACATGGCTTGTTTAAGACAAAGGATTTTACTATCCACTTCCACACATGCTCAGTATACTGATGACTCATCCAACTGTTTGTAATCAGATACTAATTAGCATATGCCATGTGGAGATTTTGGCCTACTAAATTTTGACCATTCTGGAATCGCATCACATTCCCCCCTTTGATGCCTCTGATATAACATTATTCCAGATGCATCACTAATCATAATCTGCCAACACCACTCAAGTAACCATGAACCAGTACAGACCTTGTATCATCTTAAAAACTCCTTCAACATTCCTCATCCCGATTATTCTCTCTGTGGGCTAGGGGTTCATACTTCTAGACAGCCATTACATGGGCAGCTGTCTTTCTCTCTATAGTACTCTCTAGAATACTACGTAGGGACCTGACCACTAGTGGAATTAGACATGGCAGGAGGAGGCACAAGAAATATAATAAATTCTACTCCTCCTACTAATGTCTTAATTCCTCCAAGCTGCTCATACCAACTTCCAAACCAACTACTTGGGTTATACCCATTCCAGACCTGAGTAGGTACATGCACAAATTTAACCATGTGACTTGTAAGTTCAGCCACTGCCTGCCCTTCATCATCTATGTGCAGACAACAGTTACTTAGATTAAACTTTCCGCATACACCTCCTTCCACTGCTAGTAAGTAATCAAGGGCTAGCCTATTCTGGTATATGGCTGATCGCATCCTGGTATTTTGCTTAACTAGAAGATTAAGCGATTGTGCTGTCTCATTAGTGATAATCTCAACTACCGCCTGTAGTCTAATAATGCGGTTGAGCATATATATATCGGAGTTCTATATCCATAAGTGCCATCTTCTGCCCTAGTAGCAAGTCCATAATAATTAATAATATGTTGAGGGGGCCACTCATCATCTTCCCAACTACCTATATTCAGGGATGCTCGCTTCTTTTTATTATTTACATCGTAAACCTTAACTCCCAAGGTCTCTCCTGTCTCAATTGGCAACAAGAAGAAGGATGGCTTTGGCATACCTAATACACATGCCCCTTCCCAATCTTGTGGTAACTCTGAATAAGTTTTCTTACCACAAATCCAGTGTAAATTTGCTGGGGCTTTCCCACTAGATGTAGCAGATAAGTCAAACCATACCTCCTTTAAATGAGTGTAATTGGCAAACGGATTAGTAGGCTCCGAGACATTTGAAGCTGACCACCAAGTAGTATTTTTAGTATTAACATTATAGGCTTTTTGTCCCAAGCAAGTTAGCTCACCTACAGACGTGTTATACATTGTTCCTTTCCTGGCTATACAAACATGACCTATAATGTAGGTTTTTAACCGCCATTCCGATTTACTTCTAGTACTTACTTGATGATCAGACTGGAAAGGTATCTGTTGTTCATATGTCTCAGAGCCAGAGTACCATATTTCCTTTGCCTCCCATGGCCACTGGTCTCCCATATTAGTACCTCCACATACAAAGCAGTTAGTTATATTAAGACTACCTGCAATACTCTCAGCCAAATCAATAAATAGGTTCTTAACATTATGGGGAATTTTATCCTCAATACTCATCTCCTCATAGAAGGAATGAGAAACCTGATGAGTTTGGGTTGCTACTGTCTCAGTTTCAAGACCTACATATATTATTGTTCCTGGATCTACTCCTGTGCCATATATTTGGAACCCAAACAGACCTCCGAACCTGTCAATAAAGTGCTGCAGATTGGAAATGGTCATGTGAACGGGGTTACACACATAGTTTTACAGTATGGTGTGGTAGGCAACCTTTGGATAATCATATCTTGATCTACTGTCTTTCCCCAGGTAGCCCAACCTACACATGACCAATAGGGGCAGAAGTTGTCATCTCTATTTGGGCAATCAGGATCAGTAGATCTTTTACTGGGACATAAGTATTTATCATTAAACCCATAAGTTCGTTCCCATTTAAGATTACCACATACATTCCAAGGTTTTCCACTACCCGAGATCGCCTTACATGCATCAAATAGTAGAATACCCATACAATGTATGGTATTTATCACAGTCCTATTTATCAAAGTTCCCTGGGAGTTACTATTCCTAATTACCAACCAAATTGTATGGGGTTGGAATTGGGGATCGAAACATTTAGACTCTCCTGATATAGGCTTGCACACACTATAATCAATATCCAAATATCTACATTTAGATACAGATCCCTTACATTCATACTGTGAGTGCCAGATGAGAGTTTGGGATATTTGGTTACCTGTTTTAGTAGTCTTAATGCAACTATCGCAATTCGGTATGTCTGTACTCCTACCTTCCTGAAAAATCATAAAAATACTAAGACACATAATACAACACATTATTCCTGAAATCCTATTTTTTCTTTGACCGTGCGATGGCCCCTCAGCTTCCCGATTGTGAGGGCTGCAAGGATGTTGTTCTTCTGATCCTCACTTTCCTTCACAGAGATCCCTTCGAGACACTCTGGCTTATGACACGTAGGCAGGTGGTCAGGCTTTATTATGGCCGTCAAAACACCTACTTGATGATCTCTGTAGACTTTTAACTAGAATGTCTCGATATCCCCTCGTACTTTTTCTCACGACATGTTCAATCCAACTGGGTTATGCGCTTCAACCGGATCCTGGAAGGATTCTCAGGATCTGGAGTAGCTTGCCAAGAGTCTGCCGCTGGTTTAACCTTAGAATGATGAATCCAAGGAGTCACTTCCGCCACCTTTATAGCTGTTGGGGTAGATAAAAGAACAACATACAAAGGCTAACAGGATACACCCCGAGCTTTAACTCAATATGTATTGGTGGGATATTATGAGCAAGTCCTGGAGGATTATTTTCTGTCCATACTCCTGGATGTCAAATAAGGATTCATCACTCTTAGGGTTAACACTTGTCACTATGGAATAGAAGCGTCATTCTTCTTCCCTTGGCACCGATATCGCCATTATTCCTGGTAATCCCTTAAACTTCAGAGATGTTGATCCATTAGGTAAAAGGTTATCTGAGCTTAAAGCTTCGATAATAGATCTCGTCCTAAAAGTTGAATCGGACACTCTGGCATATGTAGGAACTAATGCTTCACCACATGGCCTCCCAGAATACAAGTGCGACTCTTAAGAACCAGTCTAGCTGCGCTTTCTTCCAGTAGCTCCTATCACAGTTATAGTCTTCCCCGAAGGCGGAGCCACCATCTTAGTCACCACAGAATGGTCAGCACCTGTGTCGATCATGAAAGAACTTCTCTTTCCCCCTATTACTACATCGACCATAGGCTCTGCTTGACCAAGGGGAATGGAGCCCGGTCGGTATCAATAGTTTTCCATGACAGTGTCAGCCAGACCTACAAAATGTCTATCTTCCCTATCCCTTAATTTCTGGGTAGGTGGATAATATCTGTCCCCTTGAACACTTCCTCTACTATTCGCACTATTTCCTCCAAAACTTCCTTTACCTCACCCTTTATAGCTGCTTCCATAACCACCTCGTCCTCTTCTCGTATACCACCTGCAATATATCCCCTCTGTGGGCAGTCAGTCTTCCAATGCCCTTCCTCTCTACAATATGCACATTGATCTCTACCTAGTGGTACCCTGCTCAGCCTATTCTCGTCTCCTCTATGCACTTCCCCTCCCTGTCTTTCTACATTTGAGATAGCTACCGCTAGCATATCTGCCTTTTTCCTCATCTTACATTCTTCCTCCCGCTTTACCTCCGTCTCCCTATTCATATATACTTTATTTGCAATCTACATTAGCTGTAATATGGACATCCCTACAAATCCCTCTAATTTCTGTAATTTCCTTTTAATATCACCTTGGGCCTGGCTGACAAATGCTGAATTATTCATCCTAAAATTCTCAGGAGCCTCTGGATTAAAAGGAGTATACAACCTATATGACTCCAATAATCTCTCATACAAGGTACTAGGTGACTCATCAACCTTTTGCAACACCTCAGCCGTCTTTGACATATTAATTGCCTTCTTCCCTCCTGCCTTCATGCCAGCAATTATGGCTTCCCGATAAGCTCTTAGTTGGGGCATGTCAGCACCATTCACGTTCCAATTTGGATCGGCATTTGGATAATGTGCTGCAGCCCACACAACTGGATTGGCCTGATTTTGAGTACGGGCCGTTTCCTCAAGCGCTTTAATAGCCGCTTGATTAATCCGGGTCCTTTCCTCACAATTAAATAAAGTTAATAATAATTGCTGGCAATTGGCCCAGGTGGGATTATGTGTTTGGATAATAGAAGTAACCAAATCTGACATAACTTGAGGTTTGTCAGTATATGAAGAGTTATGAATCTTCCAGTTAAATAAATCAGTCGTAGTGAAGGGGACATATACAAACACTGGATCTGCCCGTTGTATTTGGCCATTCTCATCCACGTGTGTTGGGCCTGGTGTAAGTCAGAGGGGCATATGACAATGTCGGGATGGAAGGGTGCCAGTCAGTTGTCGGGTTAGTATGGGACTTCGGCAAGGCTGCTCAATAATAGGTTCCAGGGGGTGAGCTAATAGGTGTAAGGGGGTGAGCTAATTTTACTAATCAGCATTTGGTGGATGAAATTTTTTTTTTAAGTGTTAAACCAAAAACCTACCAGTAGTTGTCACCAGAGGGTAATTGTATCAAAATAATCTTTATGGGTCTAATAATAAAACTTAACTTTTAATATATTTATACATAAAATAAAACCTTATAGCAATAAATATATTAAAATAGGGTAAGCAATCCTACTTCTATCTGTTATAAACAATGTATTATCAATGTAACTCCCGAAGATAGCCAGTAGGTGGCCGTAGAGTGCCTCTCTAAAGTCTAATGAAGCAGATAGACTTTAATTAATTATGTCCCTATTTTATTATTACTTATTTTAATCACTGTCCACCCTGATATCTAGGCTTAATTAAATCTTTAGTTCTTAGGTAAATTAAACATCTCAGTTTGTATTTTAGTAAAAGGGGACATTTTGGACAAAGCTGGGAGGGGCCCATCCAGTAACTAAAAAAAGACAATATACCATCTTGATTAGGGGGAGGAGGGGTAGTACAGAAATACAAGAGTTTGAAACACAGGAACAGATAGGTATGTGGGTAGGCGGGGACAGTAGAGCAGGGGGAGTGCAAATACCACCTATACCAGTTTTAAGCTTGGGAGGAAGAATGGGGGCGTGGCTACTCTGGCTCTGGAGGATGAATAGGTAATCAGATGCAAGGGTGAGGGGATGTCCAAAGCAGTTGCAATTAAGTTCTGACCACCATATGGCTCCATTGTTTCTCATATGACACAGTTTAATTCACCAAGGCAGTTTTTCAACAATCAGTTTCCAACAGTCAATATATAGAAACTGATCATAGAATTCCGGCCTACTAGTTACAGCCACATGTACACCCTGCACTAAATGTAAGTGAAGACTGCTACATGGAGGCCATGCGGCCACCAGGACAAGCTACTTCCTACTACACTATACAAGACAAAGGACCAACAGCCTTGTGAATCAGAAGATGATTTCAACAAAACGTCTGATTCAAAAAGCTGTACAAATATACACACAGTTTCAACAGTCACACCAATCTCCTTATCACCAGCACCACATCGCACAGTCACTAGGCCCAAACACACACATGCACGCACACATCAGTTAGTAACAGTTATGGTATTATACATATAACATAAAACAGCAATTGTTAGTAATTTTTACACAATGTCAGTGGTTATGGTACATGTCAGTAGTTATGGTACCGTGCACTATTTTACAGTTATACACACAATTTACACTCCCACTAGACAGCAGAGCTCTAACTTTCTAGTAGGACATACAAATTAACCAATTCACCAACTACAATATATTTAACAACATTTACAATAATCACAACTATTTTAACTGGCCAGCACCTCGAGAGCTTTCGATCTATTTGTACACCAGAGATTCCATAAGTTCTTCGCTGCCCAGACACCACGTATAGCGAACTAGAGGGCAGAATTTACACAGTACCCAGCTAGTCTATTACACTATCAATAATCTAGTGGCTGGATTTACAACAGAGCACACTTTGTTAAGATAGGGTGAAATCTAGCAAGCTATAATATACAACAGAGCCTGCTTAAATTTCGCCGGTCTCCCCGACCTAGCAACCAAAATTTACACCTAGCATGCTAGTCAAGGCAGGACATCGGTGTCCGACATGAGCTATTTACACCAGAACTCAGTCTGACAAACCACCTATATTAGACGGGCTGACTACAGAGCGTCTAATTTCTTTCCAAATTGAAGGGGATTATTCCAATAACCGGTTCCAAATATAAAACCCCTTGTGGGTCTACCGCTCTAACGGTATCAGTCTTACCTGTTAGTTCCTGGACCTGGATTCACATTCATCGACGGAAC